TGCCCCTAACCTCATTTTATATATATATATATATATATATACATCATTCTAAACAAAAAACTCTAACTTGCCTAAACTCAAAATCTCTTAAGCCTTTCTTAAATCTTTTCATGTCTTTCTTTTAACCATTAACACCCATGGCTACTTCTTCAAAATGACCAAGGAAGCTTGAAGTGAGAAGGATCAAACACTCTTTTCCCATTACAAGGCAGGCTCTAGTGAGTAAGTGGTTTGTTGAAGAAGAAGCTTAGAAGGAGTACATTGAATGGTATGTTAGGAGAAGGATAATCCCACCAAAAACACTCAATCTAGACTAGTTCAACAATGAGAGTTTCACTTTTCCAACTTTTCTAGAGCATCAAGGGCCCTACTACCCTAATTTGGTATGGGTATTTTTCTTTTTAGCCTCTAATTCTGATGGAGTAACTAGTGCTATGGTTAAAGGCAAACTTGTTAAGTTGGATGGACCAACATTGCTCAAGGCTACAGGATTGAAAGGTACAAGTCAAGAGAGACCTTAGGTTGCAAATTTTGATGGTCTTAGTGATATGACCACATTCCATGACTACCAAAGGATTCTAGAGACAACCATTTATACAAGTTTTTGGTGGTAGTTGTGAAAAAGAATGATAGGCTTATTTCTTTTAGCATTACTTGGATGCTTAAGCCTAGATTTCATAATTATGCTTTAAAGCATAGGAATGACTTATTGCTAATGTATGCTATTAAGAATAAGATTCAAATTGATTGGCTTTTCGTTGTTAATGATTGCATTTGGAAAGCCAAAATAAAAAAGGATGGACCATTCCCTAATGCACTTTTATTATCCAAGGTTTTTGAAGTTTGTGGTGTTGATTTTATTGATGAGAAAAAGATAGTTCTTTATCCTTCCAATAAAATTGGAAAGGCATCACTTCATCACATAAGGATGCACATTCAAGAAAAAAAATGGATTTTCAAAGGTAATGTTACTCAAACCCCTAATCCGTTAATTGATGAGGTGGATTGGCTAAGCAAGAAAAAAAACAACAATAAGAAGCTGAACCAAAACCCAAATCGTTTTCTCCTTTGGAGTAAATGTTGATTAACAAGATGGATGCTATTATGAAAGCTACTAGGAGACATGAGTCTATTTTTTCTAGTATGTTTAACAGATTTGACGAGTTTCAAGATGAGATCAACAAGATCAAGCATCATTTGGGAATCAAAGATGACTTGGATTGAAGAATTAGTGCTTAGGATCCTATGTTTTATGTTGTTGGTTTGTTCTTAGTTTAGCTTTAGGTTGATCTTTTTGATGTTATGCTTCATTTGTTACTGGTTTGTAATTTGATAATGGTTGAACAATATTTTGAATCTATTTTGGATTAATGTAACGTGACTATGTTTGATATAATGAATGCTTAAGTTTGTGATACTCTAAAATTTTTCATTAAGTGTTTGTTGAGTATGTATGTTGAATCTGCATTATATGATATTTCTCTTATGAGTTTTGGACTATATACTTTATTTTTGATGATGTCCAAAGGGGAAAGATATAGATTTATTTTGTAAGTTGTTATTGCAAGTATTGAAGCAACAAGAATACAATTTGATCTTAAATGGATTAATCAAAACAAATGAAAGAAAGATTTGTCATCATCAAAAAGGGAGAGTTTATTGACCAAGCTCAAGATGAAGACTTGGTGTATTTAGTTTTGATGATTATAAATAATCAAGTCTCTTGAATGATAAGAGTGCAAATTGCATCTTGTTATACGTTTATGCTTTGTTGCATGTTTGCTTTGTTCTTTTTAGTTAACTTAGCTTTAAATCTTCGTATAGATGATGTTTGATGATGAAAAGAAGTTTTAAAATTGATTTGAAAAGAGATATGGTTGGAAAAATCAAAGCATTTAGTTTTTATTCAAAACAATCGATTATCACTTCAAATAATCAATTATTTGCTTTGTTTTTCAAAATCTGAGAAGTATTATTGTAATAATCGATTATCCAATAAAATAATTGATTATTTTAAAAGTAACTCTCTGGAATAATTGATTATCCTGAAAAATAATCAATTAAACTATTCTTGGTAGATTTTTAAATCAGTAAAAAACAAAATAATCAATTATTCATGGAAATAATTGATTATTTCTGTTAGAAAACTCTATATACCATTTTTCACTTTCAAAACTCAAAAAAACTTGAATCTTTGTACTACTACTTTTGAAAATAAAAACTCTCTGAAAAACATTTTTCTCTTAAAGAAGAAGTTTGATACCCTTTGTGAGAACCTTAAGAAAGAATTCAAAAATTGAATTGATCATCATCTTCATGGAGATATAGGCTAAGCTACCCTATTTGATTCACCTCTCTAAATTGTTTTTTACATTAGGTGAATTCGTTCCTAAATCTCTCTATAACTAGTTTTCTTAAGTAGGTTTCTTTTGAAAAAGGAATATTGTAGTGGAGTGCTACAAGAGAGAACCTCTTAAGGTATAAGAAGTGGTTTCTTTAAATGTGTACTAGTATATTTGGAGTGTTTGTGTGATTGAAAACCTTCTAAATTTAAAAAATAATGAAAAATCTTAATCAAGTTGATTGAGAATTTGATGTAGGTCACAAATGGATGTGACTGAACCAATATAAATTTGTTGTGCATTTTTCTTTATTCTTACACTTATCTTTACATTCTTACAAATTTGATTATATGCTTAATGATGTATGACATGAACTATAAACATTGCAAATAAGACTAATAGAATCTGATATTATATGTACAAGATATTTCAACACCATATCTTATATACATCTATATTTCAATATGCTTCATTGAAAAGATTTAGAGAATTCTTAAAACCAAGAAAATCTGAAAGTTTTTTTAATATCCAATTTACCCCTACTTGGACAAGCCATCTTTTCTAACATTATATACCGAAAAGTTATCATGAGACATGTTTCAACCTTTCCTTCAGCCATTTCAACCACCAAAATAGGCGAATAACGACACTTTGGTTGAGATAATATACCACCCAGTTGCATTTGTCTCGCTCACCCTAGTGACCTAGATGACCAAAAAGTTTGTATTACATATGTGTTTATTGCATTATGCCCTAGCATCGTCGATAACCTAATAGTCGAGACGATTTACAATAAGTTCACCCCATATGTGCTTATCCTGTTTAGGACGGTCTCGACACTCTCGACTGCTAAAATGGTCGAGGTGGCCGATACTATCATGTCTTAGAACATTTACAATACGAATTACATAATTAAAAAAGGGAATAAACCAAATTAAGAGGTAAATCAATCATCAACAACCATATTGCCTAATTAGTAATTAGGAAACAAAATCCACCATAGTCAAGTTCATTATGCTCGGTATAAATAGTTATACAAGTCGAGGTAAAATTAATGTTTATTTATAGTTCAATTAGATATTTAAGCCAAACCTGACTTGAGTATTATAGTATCTTTTACATGTATCCCAACCCTCTAAGTTATCGACTAGCAAGTAGATCAGAAATTCTAATGTCAAAAATTTACCAATATACTCTCAAAAGATACATAAACAATCTATAACACTATATGTATGTGCTTTATACTTGTTTATAAGTTGTATGCTGATTAATGTTGTTTTGAGTTGCTATAATATGTTGTTGTTTGTGTTTTTAAAACACAAAGGGTTAATAAATTATTAAGCATTAAGTTGTTTAGAGTTGAAGTTAAAATTGACAAAAACACAAAAAAAATATAAGAATCTCCCCTTCTACAATTTTCCTTTTAACTTGAAGATTCATCAATCTCTAACTTAATGAAAAATCCACAACCTCAAATTTATTGAGAGGCCAACCTTTATACTTATGCCGAGATGAGAGCAACTTTTATAAACTTGAGTTACATGTTGAAATGTTAGTTTAGTGGAATTATTTTTGTACCGGGAGGACCCTATCGGTCATGTTGACCAACACGTGCCGTTCTGTCAGACACCCATGCGAACTGGACCATACCCAAGGCTGACGTTAGCATCGGCTCGGCTTATAGCCGAAGGCCGAGATTAGTCAACTGGCACATGTCGGCTCGGCTGAAGGCCGATGCAAATAACATGATGTTTCCCCGCATACTATGTATCGACTCGGCCCAATGCCGATCCGATAGGATTACCAAGTAAACGCCAATCGGCCCGGTGAACAGCCGAAGACATGCAACCCTCCAAGCATTAGCCTGTCGGCTCGGCAACATGCCGATAGGTTAAACAGGTTATAGTACAAATCACAGTTAACAAGGACAAGTACATAATTAAGACATGGTTAGCTGATTAGCATCGTATTACCTAATTTGGTAAAGATTAGAATAGGCCCACCACGTTCAGGCCCATGTCAGGTATTATAAATAGGTCACACGTAACGAGGTACGTCACTGTTCATTAATTACCCTAGAATATCGTGCTTGTCCTAACTTGAGCATCGGAGTGCCTTTTGCAGGTACCTCCCCTCTCTGAAGAGTCCGTTTGAAGCATCCGTTCGGCCCTTCTCACTAAGAAGACTACGAGTGTACCCTCAGGCAGGTACATTTTGGCGCCCACCGTGGGGCCGAACCGATAGCTGTGAAGACTTTTTGAAGACATTATGGCAAAGACAAGAAGAAACAACGTTGAAGACCACCAGTCCGAAGATGAGCACTAGTCCGGGGCAGACAATGCCGAGACAGTAGAGGAGAAAAACTTGACTGATATGGTACGCCAAATGAAGGAAGAAATGGCCGCCATGAAACAACAGCGGGAAAGAGATGCCACCGAGATGGCCGCGTTGCGAGCAGAGAATGCTGCCCTCAAGAACCAGTACCGGGATCCCACATGGAAACCCTCTGAGATAACCCAGGGGTAGTTCCACTCGCACGACCATCACACCTCTATCCCACACACTTCTGTTGCTGCCCCAGCCGTCCATGCTTCGGTCAGCCGGCCGATACAACCGACGCCGGCCGGAGCACACCGACACCCCTTTACCCCAAACATCATGCAGTCTGCACTTCGTGACCATTGGAAGTCCTTGCCTATAGACAAGTATGATGGTACCACCGACCCAGATGAGCACGTCGACGTATTCTTAACTCAAGTTACTCTAAGCACTACTGATGAGGCCGCCTTGTGCCGAATCTTCCCAACATCACTAAAAGGGCGAGCACTGAGTTGGTTAACTCGGCTTCCTGCTAATTCTGTTGACTCGTTCAACACATTAGCCTCCCAGTTCACCATTCAATTCGCTACAAGCCGGCCTCACCAGTTGACCTCTTTGGCACTAGTTAGCATCTGTCAGGAGAAAAAGGAGTCCCTTCGGGCGTTCATGAGCCGATTCAACAAGGCGGCGCTTGAAATCCGAGACCTGAACCCTGCTGTAGCTCTGCACCACCTTACCACCGCCTTGAAACCAGGGCCTTTTGCCAACAACATTTGTAAGAAACCCCTTACTAACATGGATGATTTGCGTCGGCGAGCTGACAAATACATGCAGATGGAAGAATTGGCTGAGTTCCGGAACCAAGCCCAGGCGGAGGTGTCGGCAAAACTTGACAAGCCGGACGAGACTAATTTTCGGAGTCGTTTGAAAGAGCTGATTCCTCGCGAGAAGCCTCCTTGCGGGCCGAGATACTCATAATACACGCCACTTAATACAAGCTGATCGGCCCTCCTAGAACAAGCACTTGCCTCAGAAGTGCTAGCAGTCCCAAAACGAGCTTCGACCCCTCACAGGGCTAATACAACAAAGTCTTGTAGGTACCACCGTAATCGGAGGCATTCCACAGAGGAATGCGCGGCTTTGAAAGACAAAATTGAAGACTTAATCAAGCAGGGGCAACTGCAAGGCTTCATAGACCGTCCGACCTCATCCCGACACGCCGACCGGTCTTAGCGGCAAGATCAGCCCGAGCAGAGGAGAACAGGAACGCACTCATACAGGGAACGTAGTCGGTCGAGAGATAGGCGAGAGGAAGAGCCTTCGGCGCAACCTAGGCGGGTCATCAACACCATAGCCGGTGGATTCGCTGGCGGGGGCTCATCCTCATCGGCCCAACGTAGACACCTGCGAGCCGTTCGGCACTTGCATGCAGTAGAAACAGCTCGTCATCGCCTTCCTACCATCACTTTCACCGAGGCCGACTTCAAAGGCATCGACCCGGATCAAAATGATCCGATGGTAATCAGTGTTGAAATTCACAACTGTATTGTACGTAAAACATTGGTTGATCAGGGAAGTTCAGCCGACATCCTGTATTGGAACACGTTCAAGCAGTTGGGTATTCCAGAATCCGAGCTAATTCCTTATGATGAACCTCTGGTTGGGTTCTCAGGCGAACGAGTCAAGACAAAGGGATATATCAAGTTGTCAACCCGGTTTGGGTTTGAAGGAGCCGAATATCGTGACATCTCGGTCAAATATGTGGTAGTTCATGCCAGCACATCTTATAATATTCTACTCGGCCGGCCGTCCCTGAATCGGCTTGGGGCGGTTGTATCCACCCCTCATTTAGCCATGAAGTTCCCGGCCGAGTCAGGACGAGTCATCACGGTCCATGCTGATCAGAAGACTGCGCGAGAGTGCTACTTTGCCAGCTTGCGATTACCAAGAGTGAAGGACGAAGCGCCTAAGGAGCCGAGAGGCGTTCACTCGGTGTCACAGCAATCGGCCATGGACCTCGACCCCCGGATCGATCAAGAAGAGAGGGTAGAACCTATTGAAGATAAGCAATCGATTCAAGTTGGAGCTTCGGACTCCCAGCTTACTTACCTAGGGACCGTCCTCTCTGAACAAGAAAAGAGTGCTATCGGACAAGTAATTCTTGACAACAAAGACTTGTTTGCATGGCATCCCTCCGACATGCCTGGCATTGACCCGGATTTCCTTTGCCACAAGCTTTCAATCAGCAAAGAGGCAAAGCCGATTGCACAGCGGCGTCGAAAGGCCGGAGAAGAGAGGAAAGCCGCAATCGAAGTTGAAGTATCAAAACTTCTAGATGCTCGGTTCATCCGAGAAGTGCACTATACGACATGGCTGGCCAACGTTGTCATGGTTCGGAAACCGAATGGAAAGTGGCGTATGTGTACTGATTACACAAACTTGAACAAAGCCTGCCCGAAAGACGCCTACCCATTGCCGAATATTGACCGACTCGTTGATGGAGCATCGGGTCACAAATTCTTGTCTTTCTTGGATGCATACTCGGGATACAACCAGATCCGTATGCATCCCCAAGATGAAGAAAAGACGGCATTCATTACTGAAATGGCCAACTACTGCTATCGGGTCATGCCGTTTAGGTTGAAAAACGTCGGAGCCACGTATCAGCGTTTGATGAATAAAATTTTTCATGAACAGATTGGTCGAAGTATGGAAGTGTATGTTGACGACATGGTCGTCAAATCAAACGACATTTCCACGCACGTGCGTGACCTGGCTAATGTCTTCCAAGCGCTTCGACAACATCAGATGAGACTTAATCCTGAAAAATGTGTGTTCGAGGTCTCAGGTGGAAAATTTCTGGGGTTCATGTTGTCCAACCGAGGCATTGAAGCAAACCCCGACAAATGCCAAACCATTCTTGATATGAAAAGTCCAGGTACTCTGAAAGAGGTTCAGAAGTTGGCAGGCTGACTCACCTCACTCTCTCGGTTCCTTCCTTGCCTAGCCGAGATAGTTAAACCTATCTTTCTCTTACTAAAGAAGACGGAGCGGTTGAGATGGACCCTGGAGTGTGAAGCATCATTCCAACAATTCAAGGAGCATCTTTCCAAACCAGTTGCCAACCTCGGCATGGTTGTGTATTTAGCTGTCTCCAGCACTTCAATTAGTGTCGTCCTGATTCAAGAGAAGCAAGACGAACAACAACCGGTGTATTTCATCAGTCGGACACTACAGGATGCCGAACGACGCTACTAGTTGATAGAAAAAATAGCCTTAGGGCTCATCTACACCGCCCGCCGGCTCAGGCAGTATTTCCAAAGTCACAAGATAGTTGTCCGAACTGATTGTCCAATTGCAAAAGTCCTAAGAAAATCAGAGATTGTCGGCCGGATGATGGCATGGTCGGTCGAGCTTTCAGAGTTCGACGTATCTTTCGAGCCAAGAGGTCCCATCAAGTCACAGCATTTAGCCGACTTTGTCAACGAGCTCACTCCTCCAGGTCGTTTTGAAGACGAACCATGGACCATGCATGTCGATGGATCCTCTAATGCCCAAGGAAGTGGGGCAGGTATAATTCTGGCTAGTCCCTCAGGCATCACCATAGAACAATCCCTCCGCTTCGGCTTCCGAGCATCTAACAACCAAGCGGAATATGAAGCCTTGCTAGCCGGGATGCGGTTAGCAACCGAGATGGGCATGAAAAAAGTCAGATGCTGGACCGACTCTAAAATCGTGGTCGAACAGGTCAATGATAACTTTCAGGTCAAAGACTCCAATCTGTTGCAATACTACCACCTCTTCCAAAAACTCAAGGACGACTTCACTGAGGTTCAAATACGACACGTTCTACGAAGCAACAATGAACGAGCCGATCAGTTAGCTCGGCTCTCCAGCAGCCGGAAACCAGGACAATTGCGCACAACCATTCACCTGGAGATTCCTTCCCCAAGTGTGACAGTGGAGTGCATGACAACTGACACTCAGACATCGACCTGGATGACGGCCATCCGGAGTTTTATTGTCCGAGGGGAATTACCAACTGATCCGATAGAAGCCAAAAAGATACGAACACAAGCGGCTCGGTACTCCATAGTAGCCGACGAGCTCTACAGGCGAGGATTCTCCACCCCGTTGCTCAAATGCGTCGACAACCTACAAGCCGATTATGTTATGCGGGAAGTCCATGAAGGTATTTGTGGTTCTCATTCCGGGGGGCGAACCTTGGCAGCCAAGGTCCTGCGTGCCGGATACTATTGGCCAACTTTGAAAGGAGATTGTGCTGAGTTTGTTAAAAAATGTGTCCAATGTCAAAAGCATGGAAACCTCATCCACGCTTCGGCTGCCGAGTTGCACAGTATCAGCTCCCCGTGGCCGTTTGCTTTGTGTGGGATAGACGTGCTTCCGTGCCTCATTCTTGCCTATTTATAGGAAAATTGCAATGATTACATGAAAGATAATTTTTCTACAAGATTACGTATGGGATTACGATTTCTACTACGTGGCTACAGATTCGTAAATGTTGCAAGGATAAAATTTATCCGTTCCTCCTCAGCAGTGCAGCAGGGATAAAACTTATCCCCTGCATTTAATGTTTTTTTAAATAAAAGTCACATGCCCTACCCACTAAGCTATTTTATGTTATTTGTTTATATCATCATTCAAATTTATAATAAATTCTTTTTCTTAGATAATAATATCATAAATATTTATAATATAACTAAATAGCTTATATATATATATATATTTAGTTTTGTAAATATAAGATTTTATAAAATACTAGTATTTATTTATTTTAAATATACATTTTTAAATATACTAACTAAAATTAAAAAAATGATAGTAATAAAATTATAAATAATGGATGTTTCTATTTTATTAATTAGATTAGAAATAACTATTTTAAAATTTTATTTTACTAAAATGTTGTAATGTAAATTTATAATAACTAAAAAAAAATTTAATTACTATTTTAAGAAGTGTACACTCAATAATAATAATATTGAAAATATTGTTCCTGAAATTTAGGATGTTACAATTCTCCCCTACTTACAGAAATTTCGTCCTTGAAATTTTTCATTGCTTAAAATAAATAAGGATAATTTTTTTCTAATTTTCTCTTCCAGTTCCCATGTAGCATCTCCAGTAACATCATTCCAGATGACCTTTACCACTGAAATCTGTTTGCCTCTCAACTGCTTGATCCTCCTGTCTGTGATATGTACAGGCATTGTTTCAAATGTAAGGTTATCCTTTAACTGTACCGTATCAGGCATTATTACATGAGATGGATCATAAATATATTTTCTTAACTGAGACACATGAAAAACATTGTGAAGATTAGAAAGAAAAGGTGGTAGAGAAATTTGATAAGCTACAGGACCTATTTTTCTGAGAATTTGATAAGGACCAATAAATCGAGGTGTGAGTTTCTTTGATTTCATTACCCTACCAATTCCAGTTGTTGGTGTAACTTTCAAAAATACATGATCACCTTCCTGAAATTCAAGAGGTCGTCTTCTTTTATCAGCATAACTTTTATGTTTGCTTTGAGTTGTTCTCAATTTTTCTCGAATCATTTTGATCTTTTCCGTGGTTTGTTGCACCAATTCAGGGCCTAAGATTAAATTTTCTCCTGTCTCAAACCAACACAAAGGAGTTCTACACCTTCTCCCATGTAAAGCTTCATAGGGTGCCATACCTATGCTAGAATGAAAACTGTTGTTATAAGTGAATTCAATCAGAGGCAAATATTGATCCCAACTACCTGAATCCTCAAGCACACAAGCTCTCAATAAATCTTCTAAAGATTGTATGGTTCTTTCTGATTGTCCATCTGTTTGAGGATGATATGCAGAGCTAAGGTGAAGCTTAGTTCCTAAGGCTTGATGTAAACTTCCCCAAAATTTAGAAGTGAATCTATGATCTCTATCAGATATTATACTAGATGGTACACCATGCAGCCGTACAATCTCCCT